ATGGCTTTCTCTGGGAAACTATGGGGAAGTTCGGGTTCGGCGCTGGTTTTATAGCTAAGATCCAGGTGCTGTACAGTGGTGTTGAGAGTGTGCTGAAGATCAACGGTAGCTTGTGTGCTCCTTTTAAGGTGTGTAGAGGCGTTCGGCAGGGCTGCGCGCTCTCGGGGATGCTCTACGCACTCTCCCTGGAACCCCTCCTCCGAAAGATTCGAGCAAAGGTCCGTGGTTTTATTAAACCCGGTTTTAACAACAGAGTGGTTTTATCCGCCTACGCTGACGACGTTGTTGTTTTTATCAAAAACCAGAAAGACGTAGACATTTTAAAAAAAGTTACCGAAAGTTTCTCCACCCTGTCCGCTGCGAGGGTGAACTGGGGAAAGAGCACAGCCCTCGCCGTGGGTGAGTGGCCTGAAGGACTCCCGGTTCTCCCTCAAAGCCTCCAGTGGAGGAGAGACGGGTTTAAATATCTCGGTGTCTACCTGGGAGATAACGATGCGATCAGGAAAAACTGGGTAAACGTTAAAGAAAAGTTTGAGGATAAAATACAAAAATGGAAATGGCTGCACTCCCAGATGTCCTACAGAGGCAGAGTGCTAGTTTTGAACAACCTGGTCGCATCGCAGTTGTGGCACAAACTGGCCGTTTTAGACCCACCTCCAGACCTGTTGAAACAACTACAGTCTGAGATGGTGGAGTTTTTCTGGAAAGGTCGGCATTGGGTGCCACAGTCGGTTTTATTTTTACCAAGAGAGGAGGGGGGACAGGGCCTTGTCCATCTGGCCAGCAGGACGGCAACTTTTAGAATGCAGTTCCTCCAAAAATACCTGGCAGGACCTGCTGATACAGTGTGGAGAGACGTGGCCAGCTGCATCCTCAGAAGAGTGAGCGGGTTGGGGCTGGATGCGGCTCTGTTTCTAACTAATGTTGACCGTTTACAGCTAACGGGGCTACCCAAGTTCTATCAGAGTGTTTTTAAATTATGTTCCCCTTTTAAATTCGACAGAACAAAAACGAATAATTCTCTGCATTGGCTTTTAGAAGAACCGTTAGTCTGTGGAGCGAGACTGGACGTCTCTGACAGCACAGTGCCAGGGCTGCCGACGGTGCTTTGCAGGTCTGGGACGGTGACCCTGAGGCGCCTGGTGGAGACGGCCGGACCAGACTTCTCCGGCGTACAGAAAGTGGCCTCGTTGCTCGGGGTCCGGTCTGCCAGACTGGTGCGGCGCTTCATGGACCTGTTGAGGGAGAGGTTGACTGCTAGAGAGGGGCACCTCCTGCAGCTGTGGTCCGCGGAAGGTCGCCCGCCTGATCCGACGGACCCGTTTCCAGACACCCCCCTGGTTCCTAACCTCGGGGACAGCAGCGGTCCCCTTCTTCGTGACACAGGCCCAAAGGTGGACTTATGCAGATCGGGGCAAAAAGTACTCTACAGAACCTACGTGAAAGTGCTGAATAAGAGGACTCTGCACAACAGAGCCGTTTGTGTCTGGGACGGCAAGTTCGGAGAGCAGAAGCCCCAGTGGAGGACACTCTACATACCTCCGATTAAAAAACGGACTGGTGACCTTCAATGGAGGGTCCTTCATGGCGCCATTGCTACAAACTCTTTTTTATCTGTCATCAGTCCCGGGGTTTTAAACGAGTGTCCTTTTTGCAATTTGCCAGAGAATGTTTTTCACGTTTTTATGGATTGTGTTCGACTAACAGTTTTTTTTAGCCTCTTAACAAAGATTTTTAACCTGTTTGACACAGTTTTTACCCAATCTGTTTTTATCAACGGTGTATTTTACAGCAGGGCCACTAAAGGCAAGTCCCAAATTTTAAATTTTTTAATCGCCGAGGCAAAGATGGCAATATATTTGTCTCGCAGGGACAGATTGCAGGATGGACCTCACCTCGATGCTGTGTCTCTGTGGAGGTGCAACGTCAGGGCCAGGTTGGCCTTGGAGTTTCAATTCCACAGGGACACTGGGGATTTAGAAAGGTTTTTGAAACTGTGGGGATTTAAAACTGTTCTATGCACCATCTCTGATCAGAAGGAACTGACAATCAACAAGCTTTTAATGTAAACGCTCTAGTTTAAGCTTGTCCTGATCATGTTTTTTTACTAGTGTTTTTAAAACTGTTTTTTTTTTGATAACTGTGTAAATAAAGTTTTGTTAAAAATCAAAAAAAAAAATCTCTCTCTCTCTCTCTCTCTCTCTTACAAAAGTACTGTGGAGGTTGAGATGTGTGGTGGTAGGAGGATGATGATGATGATGCTGTATCAGTTCTGGTTTCTTCCCCGGCTGCAGTGATTTGGTCCCATACGAACACATACGTTTAATAGGTAGATTGAATTCTCAGTCAGGTCCTCTGGACGTAGGACCTGACTCAACCTTGTTACATTTCAAAAGAGCTCCTAGCTCTTATAGAAGCATGGAACTGCTGCCATGCTGCAGCCAAGTTCCCTTGCCTCTGCTGGCTTCTACCCCAATAATAAAAAAAACATAAATGTTTCTAGTTTCATGCTCTTCTGGAAGCAAGGAAACACAGGTGTATTACAACCACAATCCCTTGGCTCCACTGGCTTCGACCCCTAATCATTATTACAAAATCTAAGTGCACTCTCAGCAATCTATTACTTGCATAAAACAAAATGATAAGATAGAAAAATTAACAAAAAGAAAGAAATGTATTTGTTCTTACTGTACAAGAGGCTTGCAGCAAAGTACCAGGGCATCGTAGAGTAGACACACTCCAAACACGGTGATACCTGTCTCTTTAACCAGCATGGCACAGGTACCCAAAAACAAACTTATAAACAGAGACAAGGTGGAGGGCAGAAAGTCCTCAGAGAGACATGCTCCCACACTCCTGAAAAACAAGAGAATGATTTGTAATCCAATTACTAGGTGGGTGGCCTCATAAGTATAGCCCATTACCACAAGACAATTTTCTGTGGTTGCATTCTTTTAGCTGCTTTATTCATTTGTTTTCATCTTTTATGCTCTTCTGTTAGGTGACAGTGTGAAGGTAGAGCTATCACAATAGTCAATGCCAGAAGTAAAATATTCAACATTGTGACAAAAAAAGTTAAATCATGTCATCTGGACAGTTTCTTTTTGGGAGAAAGACTTTTTCATCAGAAAGACTTAATCAGTCTGAGGCCTGCCAACCCAGATCTGTCTTATAAATAGCACCTCCTTGAAGTGTTTCAAGCCAGCCCTCTGTGGAATTCCCAGAAACTGGTTTTACACATGCAAAAAGTGACCATCTGTCCCTTTCCACATTGTGCTTTTTATGCAAAAGTTTGATTAAGCTATATTGACATTTACTATATATAAAAACTATACACTATACTTGTATGTGCAGTGGTTCCCCTACTTTACTTGCCTTGGCAGGGTGCTCATCCCTTCTGTGAATTTTGTCAACAGGGTTTGGGGGTGGAGATAGTGACACATCTGTGTTGCATGCCGTTTGTGCCGAAGGGGGGATTGGGAAGGAAAGGGCTCAACGTAAGGGACATGAAGCGCTAGGTCTGTAGCTTTTAACTAGCGCATCTGTATTGCACACCGCTAGCTTAGCGCGATGTCAGTGCTGGCAGTTTTCAGGGGGTGGGGGACAGATCTGTAGGCTGGGTGCCCAGTTCTGTTGACAGGATGGGGTGCTCCCTCCTTGTATAATGGTAGGGGAAACACTGCCTACTTTGTATCAGTAAAGCCCCAGTATACTCCCACATACGTCCATAAGCAGAGGTACGAGCGTACCCCCCAGGGCATGTCCGTGCAAAGCTCAATTTTTACGACCGCTTACTCGTACACGATGTCGCACAATAAACTGCCCAGCGATGGACTGTTTTGTATGCGACACCAATGTATTAAATTCCCCTTCTTCATCTCTGATCTGGACTTTTCTTTTCTTGTGTTTTTCCAAGAGGCAGTGATCTCTTCCTGCTCCATTGATGCCATGACTGAAACGGTGAGAAATGAAGGAATTTGTCACGAGCGAATTAAACTCAGGTCCAGCGTGGCTGCCGGAGGGTCTGGAGATTTCCTGGTGGGCTGGTCTGATGTGTGGGCTGTAGAGCCAGCGCTCCCTGTTCTTTTTTATTTTTTAGATCTTTTTATTAACAACATATAAACACAGAACACCGCAGAGGCTGCCAGCGCTAATTTTTACTTTTTTCCCACCTGTCAATCAATCCAGTAGGCGTGTCAGCAAATGACCAATCAGTGACATCAATTTGTCCCGAAGGTAAACGCCCCTTGCCTGTGGAGCTGCTCTGCAGCTGCTCAGGGTGTACGCTGGAGTATGAAGTCTGAACCCTCTGCGTACAGTACACGCGTACGTACGCTTGAACGGACGTACACAGGAGTATACTGGGGGCTTAAGAGCTTAAATTCAAGTATTGTACTTGTGTTTTGGTTTGAATAAATGTGATATAACATCACATCCCTAAATGTTTGTTTTATTACATTTTATATTATTAATTTTTTATTTTATTAATGAAATAAACTGAGGAAGCTGGGAAAATTGTTAGCGGTAATGCAAAGTGGTGTCCCAGTTTCTAAACCTCACTTAACTGGTTTACTATACTTTAAAGGATATATTGCAATCAATTTTAATTTTTATAAAATTGTATAGCAGCAAAACGGTTTAAAATGAGAAACATCCATTAAAAAGGGGAGTTTAGTTGGGTAAAGTCTCAGTGACTCTAGCCATTAAACCAGGTTACCTAAAGACATATTTGAAAGAGGAGCTGCTCTAGAAAATGTATGTGGGCCCTGGACCCAAGTATGTCACATATTTTATCAAAAGCTCAAGAAATTGTGTGCTGTTGGAGAAAACAACTAAAGAATAGGCTGCTTTAAGATGTTCAAATATAATTAGATTTTCAAATTTCAATGTGACTTTATAAATGTGATCAACTGTTGCATTTGTCTGTTTTATATAGAGTTTATATTAGGTGGTCAGACAGTACGCTTAAAAACATTACTATGTTAGATACGTTTGGTCTTTCATCCAAAAGACCTCATCATTCCTTTAATCTTTTGGATGAAAGACAAAACGTTTCAACAAAAAGAAACCATCCAGAGGACCTGACTTAACTTTGTTGGATTTTTCTACCTGGATTATTGAGCATGAATCAGGAAGATTACTCTGTTAGGATATTTTGGCAAATATTATAGGTGTGCTAACTTGATCAAAATAATAAACTGTTACAAACAAGAATGGTCTTACCTAATATAAGAGAGAAATGTCAGCAAAAAAAGTAAACAGGCCAAAATATCAGCTCTTCCGACGATACCAGATACCTAAAAAACACAGACAGTTTGAAGCATTCAAGTTCCTTCACGTGATCTTAAAGTTCTTCAATTAGCTCCTGAAACCTGAGAATACATACTAACCTACCTTCCAATAAGCTTATGAGTTTATTTGTTACATTTTCATCTAGTTCAAAATAATCTTGAACATAAACATATGTTTCGTCACCTTCTTAAAATAATTGCCTAAGTCATTTTTTTTCAAAAATGATTTTTTTGCCTAAATCATCTCTTCATGATGCTGGCCACCTCTGGTAAAATTGCCTACTTCCTCAATTAAACAGATCATGCCATTCTACCCCTTTTGTATAATTGCCTATGTCAAGAGTGTGACCTAGGCAGTTTTATTTTGCCTAAGTCACCAGACAAATTGACTTAGGCAATTTTAGAAGTTTTTCAAGATGGCGGATGATTCAAGGAGACGAAAATTATACACAGCTGCTGAAGCTATTTCCAAGATTCAGGACTCTTCCCATGTTGGTAAGTGAAGATGTTTACTATAATATACACTAGGCTATCAAAATTGCATAAAATGTGATCTTTTGGGAATCCACAATGTATCTTAATACAATTGACCTCAAAGGCAATTCATGTTTGTCAGAATAATCACAAATTTTTGAAAGGTTTGAATATTTTTTTTTCCATTTTGGTAGGAGATGCACTTGATATTGATGACACCAGTCTGTCCTCATCTACTGAGACTGACAATGAGACCATCAATAAAGAGATGATGCAGTATGTTGATAATGTTTCACCATCTGCTCCCATGGATAAAGTTAAAGATGCCAAGCAGACACATCCATACCAAGAAGAGGTGATGTCAAATGATGATGGTGATGATGTCATTCAAGATCCGGACTATACCCCAACCTGTGATGAGTCCTCTTCTTCTGAAGATGAAAACAGCTTATCTATGGTGGCAACAACTTTAGAACAGCAGAATGAGGATGTTGAATTAAAAGATGCAGGCAAAAAGAAAAGAAATAAACACCTCAGTCCAAGAACATGGAAGCAAAATAAATCCAAGCAGAAACGTCTAAAAGGAATTTCATACAAGAGCAAAAGTGGCAAAGAAATAAGTGCAAAGACTATGGGTCCTCCCTGCAACTCCAAGTTCTGTCAGCGAGTCTCAACTCGAGACTGCCAAGTCCTTACAGAAGAGCAGCGGCAGTGGGTATTTGACAAGATTTGGGCAATGAACACCTGGGAAGAACGTCGGTTATATGTCACCACTTTGGTCACAAAGACTAGCATAAAGCAAAAAAAAGTTACTGAGGGATCCCGACGCAATTCATCATTTACCTACCAACTGAAGCTTGAAGATGGAACAAGGGTTAAAGTGTGCAAGGCACTTTTTTCTTCTACAATTGGTCTCCCTGAAAGAACCATTACAAAATGGCTGGATGACCACATCAACCCTGAAAAACAAGCAGAAGTGCCATCAAAATCTGGACCCAAAAGTGGCAGGCATACAAAAGTTGAAACTGATGTCAAGGATTTCCTTAAGAACTGGTTGAGGGACCTGCCCAGTGTTGACTCACACTACTGCAGAAGCACAGCTACCTACAAAGACAAGAAGTTCCTTTACCAAGGCGCAACCATCTCCCAACTACATCGTGAATATGGACAGGCAGCTGCAACTGCTGGAGTGAGAGCTGTTGGAATCCAATATTTCACAGCTGTGTTCCATGAGGAGAACTACTCCATATTTATTCCAAGAAAAGATCAGTGTGATGTTTGTGTTTCATTCAAACATGGAAATATCAGTAAGGCTGCATACGACGCACATGTCACCAAGAAGGATGAAGCAAGGCAAGAGAAATCTAGGGACAAGGATTCTGCTGATGAAGAGAAGTCCGTTTGGACAATGGACTTGCAAGCTGTGCTACTGTGTCCAAAAACCCAAGCCAGTAGCCTGTATTACAAAACAAAACTGCAGGTCCACAACTTTACCCTTTTCAACTTGAGATCAAAGGAAGGCTACTGCTATGTTTGGGATGAATCACAAGGTGACCTCTGTAGCGAGGTATTTGCACATCTTCAGTATCATCATTTTGAAGGTGTGATCAAAGGCCATCCAGACCTCAAGGAGATCATAGTGTGGAGCGACGGTTGCGGTTATCAGAATCGCAATACATGTGTAGCAAATGCATACTCTGAGCTCGCAAGGAAATATGGGGTGCTAATAACCCAGAAATACCTTCTTGCCGGTCATACACAAATGGAGTGTGACAGTATGCATAGTACTATTGAAAGAAAATTAGTTGCAGATATCTTCCCCCCAAGAGACTATGTCGTTGTACTCCAGACTGCAAGAATCAGGCCATCACCTTACTATGTGAAAGTGCTCAAGCACGATGAGTTCCTGAAGCTGAATGGATCTTACTTCTTCAGCATCAGACCAGGCAAAAAAGTTGGAGACCCGACTGTGCATGACTTGCGGGGTCTTCAGTTTAGCAGTGACGGCAAGGTCCATTTCAAGCTGTCCTTTTCAGAAGACTCTGTATGGGAAGAACTGCCACAAAGAGTGCAGGAACCAAATGGGCCAATGGCATGGATAAGTTTGTTTCCATGTGCTCTACCAATCAAAGAGAGAAAGTTCCAGGACCTCCAGTCAATGAAACCCATCATGCCTGTCGAGTGTCATCACTTCTTTGACAATTTGCCACACTAATAGGCATCAGACAAGAACCCAGCAAAGAGCTGGAAGGAGAAGTGGAAAAATGCACATGCCTCCTCAGCATTATGTTTTGTTAGTTTGTGCTGTAAAATTGCCTAGGCCACAAAGGCATGTTCAAAAATTTGCCTAAGTCATTTAATTCTGTCATGTTCCATGTTTGACTGACCTTGCTGTTTGTATGTCAAAAGACATCTGTTGTTACAACTTTTTTGATTAAAATTGTTCGTAAATATCATTTATTCAACAAATGGTTCAGTTTTTTGTGTTTCCTGAAAAATTGCAAAAAATGACTTGGGCAATTATTTTAAGAAGGTGATATTGTGAAAAAATATGAAATAATAATTTTTGACATCATTACGTTCTGTTTTTATTTACATTTTACACAACGACTTAAATGTTTTTGGAATCGGAGTTGTACTGTAATTTCTACACGCTTTGAACACCTCGGCGTATACAACGCTGCAGCTAATTTATGATTGATTTTTTTCGACGGGCTAACGGGCTTCATGACGCCAAAACATTTTGCCACACCCAGGTGCTCACATAGCTGCCCAATACACGCCTCTCTTGGGGGTGGGTCCTCATGATTCAATGAGACTACCTGTATAATTTTTTTATTTATTTTTTAATCTGACCAACGAAATTAACGAACAGGTCAGTGGACCAATGAGACTTGGTTTCACTGATCCACTGCAGAGGGAGTTTCTCCCCTTACTGGGGTACAATGAAATATTTTCAACCACTCGAAATAAGTGTGAATCATAAATCAAAGCAAATTGCGAATTTGCCTTGAGACGAACGTAATGTTGAGAGCAACATCGAAAGAGAGACGGAGGACGTGTAATGAAGTTCTAGTTCATATAGAGTTCGCCCTTTAAGGCTGTTGCTAGTGGGTTTGTCCCCGCACGCACAGCACTGCACTGAAAACTTTAGTCCATGTCCACCTGCTGGGTGGGCCCCAACCCCGGTCAGTATAAAGTGCCCTGAGACCGGGGTGCGGTTCCCCTTTTTCTTCAGCCAGTAAGCAGCATAAAGAAAAGTAAAGAGCAGAAGATGAGAGCCAGCGGAGTGATACACCTGTGTCCAGCCTGCAGGACGGGATATATCCTCAGCTCCGACCTGCATGCCATCTGCGAGTGCTGCCTCGGAGCACAACACGCCAGTCAGGGCAATTTATACTGAGCGGAGGTGGGGCCCACACAGCAGGTGGGTGTGGACTAAAGTTTTCAGTGCTGCGCTGTGCGCGCGGGACAACCTTAAAAGGTTATGACTATATTCATAGAATCTGGGGTTTCAATACATAACCAACGTTTTTCTGAGGCTGTTCAATTCTGACACTGAAGACGACGACTTTAGTGTTTTAGTGCACAGGAGGAAGATGAAGATAGCAATCAATGACTTCCTGGTAGGCTCCTGTATTTATTTATTTATTTATTTATTTTAACCAGCCGTGTTACAGACACTGTTAAGAAAAAAAAATACTGTACATACTGTATTTGTGTATGTTACCAATACATATTTAATCATTACAAGTTTTAAAAAATCTTTCTGCAGCTGTGGCTGAGTGGTTGGAGCAGTCGTCCTCCAATGCAAGAGTTGGGGGTTTGAATCCACCAGCAGTCACATGCCGAAGTGTCCCTGGGCAAGACACTGAACCCCTCATAGCCTCTGATGTGTGTCCATCAGTGTAAGAATGTGATAAAGCTCTGATTAGTCTCGTTAGAATGATTGTTCAATGATCTTTGTAGAGATGTAGTAGAGAGCTGTGTGAACGGTAGTGTAAAGCACTTTGAGTGTCTTGATACGACAGAAAAGTGCTATACAAGTGCAGTCCATTTACCATTTATGTCACGTTACACCGTGGACACCTGTGGCTTATACACAAGTGTGGCCTATATATGTACATTTTTTATTTAGTGGGTGCAGCTTATTTTCAGGTGCACTCAACATTCAAGAATTTACGGTCCTTTTGGTCCAGAAACTCAAGCTCAATATTCTGACCTTGTTTTCACTACTCCTGATACATTTCACATAGTTATTTCTGTAAAGTTTGATTTCATATTAATGGACCTTACCAAGCCTACCTTACTGTGCAGCTGTATTTTTTGCTGCAAATGAAAAATTACAACATAAAGATGACATAAAAGAACTATATGTAATAGGAAAAATGTAATAAATATCCCTGTAAACCTGCCACTGCATGGAAGCAGAATTATTCACATCTGCACTGGGGTGAAACATTTATTACCTGCATTTAATGATACACTTCAACAGTTGTTTCAGTATGAATCTATTATCAAAACCAGAACTTAAGAAGTAATTTGTGAGGTTTGTGAAAATGTACAGTCAACGGTTGGTGGTACTCACCGCCTCTGTGTGGACGGGGTGCACAGCAAAAAGCAGCGCGGCAACAAAGGCCAAGCTTGAGCTTTCGAACACGCAGTATTCACATGTGTACATGAGCAGGCAGGTAACAGTGCAGTGCAAACACACGTTGACCACGTGGAAGTAGAGAGGTGTCATACCACCCAGCAGGACGTTCAACCTGACCAGCACACAAACACAAAGCATTCAACTAATGAGCTCACACACAACAAATAATGAATAAAACGTTTCAAACGTGAAACCAAGTGATTGTCAGAGCCAACATGTTCACCGTTTTCCCCGTTAGGTGGATCTTGAGCATCCAGGAATACCACATCATTCAGCCTAAAATGAATATGACATGGTTCTGGTTTTGCTCATTTACAGACACAGCTTATAAATGTACACTTTACATACTGTTTTAGTGAGTTTGCATTTAAGATACTGTCTTGTTGGTTAAATTTTGTTTTACTGATATTGGCTTTAGGCTATACTGTTTTACTAAATTTAGCTTTTAGCTACTTTTACTTCTTCAGCTCCTTATAAACAAATGTTACCTTTTAGCAACTGTTTTACTTTAATTATTTTGTAGTTGTTCTGATGGTTGAGGCTTTTAGTTACTTAAGCATTTCACTATTTTTGCTCAATTTAACTTGCGTAATAAACATTTGAGATTGTGTTCTGTTTGTAAATGATTTTCTTCTTGTTTTAACTTGAACAATTACAGAGATAATATGTTTTAGTTATCATTTTTCTTTTGACTTTAATTTGTGTACATATACGAGCCATTAGGAAACATGAGACAATGGACTGGTGTCTCAGTGCCAAACCCAGATAAATGGTGAGGATTTGGTCAGGATGGGCATCCAGCATGAAACACTTTTGACAACAAAACATGCACATTTGGTCCAAGCCACATCATACTGGACTGTTGGACTCGTGACCCAGCACTGCAGTTAACAAACGGGACGCTGCTGTTAGCTGAAGACCACGAGGAGGGACACATGCCAGGAGGCCGAGCGGGAAGAGGAAAGTCAACAGTGTGGGACTGAGGATAGCAATTTGAAACAGTCCTGGGAACTTTTTGAAGGTGGGGGCTAAAAGACATGGCCTCTGATCAAAAATAACGCCAAGGTTTTTAACTTTAGAACTGGAGGCCAAATGAATGCCATCCAGAGAAAGTGAAAGACTGAAAAATGTATTCGTAAGATACTCAGGTTCAAAAACCACGACCTCTGCTGTCTCTGTGCTTTGATGAGCCCTAAACCCTGACGCAACCTCTTCAGATTATTTCTCTGTAGATGTTCATGCAACTGACCTGTAACTATTTTCTCTAGAATTTTTGAGACGAATATTAAATTGGGTATAGGTCTATAGATGGCCAGTCTCCTCTGATTGAGTATTGTTTTTTCCCTTCTTGCTCTTGGCGAAGGCTGACACTTTTCCCTCCTGCTCCTTCCTTCCCTGCTCTGCTCTTTGTCTTGTGAACCCTTTTGGAGCCTCTTTTTGCATATCTTCCGAATTTTTAATTATGGATCTGGTCAGCTGGTCTCTCATTGCAACTGATCAAATTTCTCAACAAGACTACAAGGCAAAGAAAAGCCCTCCTGCCCCAACGGGATACTAGCAGCTGGATAAACGATGGATTCCTTGGGGAAGTGGAAGATTGTGTATCTGTCCATCTTGTCAGTCGAGGACGCTGAAGCTGTGTGCATAATTGGATTTATGATAACAGGATTTTTGCTTTTTTTGGAGTTGGTGGTTAGCTGGCATATCAACAAATTTGGAAAACGTCGGCAGCTGTTCTGGCCATTGTAAGGCTGCCCGGCATGTGTGAAGGAATGTGCCATGCTGTCAACACTCAGACTCAAATGCTGTGCTAACTGAGCCGTAAGCTAGATTCTTGCTGAGAATCACAGGTTACTTCCGGTTCCTGAATCTCGCTGAAAGAAGGAATAGATCTCGGTGAAGTTGTAAGCTCGACTCGGTGTATGTGACCACAGTTTGGCTGTTTGGAGTCGCCATAGAGATGTACTAGCGAGGCTATAAAAGGCAGATGGAAATTATAAGAGCTCGGCCTGACCCAAAACAAATGTTGCTATCTGAATGTGGCTCCCCCGGTGTCGGCCTTGGAAGGTTGACTATCTCAAATTCTCCTGGATGTTACGTGAACAAGATGCTCTGCTCCCACTTCCCCTATCCACTCCCTTCCCCAAGCTGGAGTCCTTAACAGTAAATGCAGGATTATCTACGTGCCTTGTGAATTCACCATTATGATCACTGCTGCATATCTCCAACACCCCCCCCCCCCCCCCCCCCCCCCCCCCCCCCCAATGCTAGTGCTCATTCAGCCCTCAGACCTTTATGACAGTATTAGCAACTAACAGAACAGATATCATGAGACTATTCACATCATGACAAGGAACTTTAATCAGGCTGATCACAGCACTGTGGACACCTTGTTTCTTGTAGCACAAGGTTTTTACATCCTCAATGCAGAAAGGAGAAGGACTGCAAGTCATTCCTGTCCACAGCCATCAGACTACATGACTAATAAAAATGCTTCACGCTTCTCCTGTTGTTGTCTTTTCCATGGACATTAGTTAATGGTACTGTACATGCATATACAGTAGTCCCTCGATTATCACAGGGGTTGCGTTCGACACCCCCGCGATAGGTGGAAATGTGCAAAGTAGGGACGTTATATTTACTTTAGTACTTATACACACATGGAGACAAACAAGCATTCACTCTCTCACACCTAGGGACAATTTAGAGTTACAATCAGTCTAACATGCATGGCTTTGGTCTGTGGGAGGAAACCCACACAAACAAGAACTTTCTAACTTCACAGAATGACCCCAGGTTCAGGCAGCACGGTGGCACAGTTGGTAGAGCTGTTGCCTTTCAGTGAGAAGGTCGTCGGTTCAAATCCCGGCCCAGGAGCTTTCTGGGTGGAGTTTGCATGTTCTCTCCGTGCTGCGTGGGTTTTCTCCAGGTACTCCGGTTTCCTCCCACAGACCAAAATCATTCAACCTTTATTTAGACAGGTTAATCCCATTGAGCCTGGAGGACTAGCATGCATGTTAGACTGACTGGTGACTCTAATCTGTGTCCCTGTGATGGACTGGAGACCTGTCTATGGTCTAGGGCAGGGCTATTCAACTTCTATAGCTCTGGTGTAGGGTGTAGGGTACACCCTACATCCTACACCCTACAAACTACACCCCTTTCACACAGTGATTGTTGACAAAAGGCACCAGCCCCCCCCCCCCCCAACATGGAAAAGCAGGTAAAGAAAATGGATGGATGGATAAACGTAAAAACGTATACATTTCTTTCAGATTCTCTTATTTCTCATATATAATGATGATACTTAACGTTAGACTTTTCATATGATGTCATTTAAAATCCCTGTCCTGTGACTCACAACAACCGAATCTGTTGATTTCAAAATGGAACTCGAAAATAGTTTGACATGAAAATAAGAGCAAACGATAATAAAGTAGTTTTTCTTCGTCTTTCGGCTGCTCCCTCCTTCAGGGATCAACTCCATGAAAAGTGTGTGATCATTTAACACGGGGTGTTCCTGACACAACCACAGCCCTCTGGGGGGTGGGGGCCTTGCTCAGGGGCCCGGGGTGGTTTGGGTGATGATGGCAGCAGGTGTGGGCGCTTCTCCTTTCCCACCCACATTTTGATATTGTCGCTCCGGGGAGTCGAACCAGCAACCTTCCGATCAAAGGCCCATCTTCTCTTAAGTGGCTGAACTGAAAAATTCCATGCAGGTGCTCTGTACTGGACTGGGTCTGGATACGGGACCAGGTCTGGAGACGGGACCGGGTCTGGATACGGGACCGGGTCTGGATACGGGACCGGG